GGTAATTAAGCTATCCATCAGATGAACAGCGTTTGGGATGTCACTGCAACTGCGCGAGAAAGTGAAGTCCGATGGGCGAGGATTGTTGCCCGCCCTGCTTGCTGATAACTATGAAAATCATGCATCAGTAAATAGTATTCGTGAGAAATTGAACGACTGTGCAGGAACCCTCGTAAGAAGTGCGCACAGATTGTCGCCCTTTCTCTCAAAAATTGTTTTGAGCCGGAAGGGAATCGAACCACTCCTGTTCACGTCCAGACGCAATGTGTTACCACTGCACCACCGGTTTCTTTGCTTCTGGTACAGCATGGCAGCACATCTACTGTGTATCTGCCTTTCATGGCGTGGTACCCCTTCCTTTTATTCTCTTTTTTTTTCTTTGTGGCTGCTTCTTGGCCGGCTTTTCGTTGGTTTTTCGCGACAGCGATTATTATAGACATAGTGTTTAGGCGCAACAACAGTCAATATTGGACTGATATCGGGTGGCGAAGCACTGAATGCACTGGCGGAACATGCATCGGCAGCAATATTCTTTCGTGTGACTACCTCTACTTCGGATATCCTGCAACAGCTTGAGGAAATTGTTGATGGCCGTGCCGAAATTGATCAGTCCTTCGGGAAAAATGAGCCAATACGTCTTACTGGTACTAATTGAGATCCAAAAAATGCATTTTGCCAAGTTCTGGAATTAAACTGTTGGAAACAGCGTTTTGGGGAATAGCCCTACCTACTTTTGTGCAACTGCCCATAGCTTGGCCGTGCCACTGGAACATTCAGTTCCTGTTTGTTCCATTTCATTCTTTTCTGCAGCAAATTGGTACTGGTTCGTACCAGAGAGTTAGACTTGCCTTAAGTTTACTTCTAAACATCCTTCGTAAGAGGAGACCATTGCTAGTGAGTGTGTGTTTGCAGTTTGATCTACTTGCAAAGTGTTCCCCGCTTTTCATAGAGAGTAAATAAGAGGGGGTTTTGACTAGAAAATAAAAATTTCCTTAGTAATGAGAGGAAATTTGCTCCGAAACAAATGGGTAGGAGAAAAGGTAATTTTTCAGGCTTTGAGGAGTTTGTTTTCTTTTTTTCTAGATTTTACTTTTCGTATTTTACTTTCGTGTTTTTTCAGCGCCTCCAGCGCCATACGAATCAGAAGTTGTGGCATTCAATACAGATTTGCCATACTTTATTGCTCGTAATAAGCTCAAAGCAGCTTATCTGTTCGGGGCCGGTTCGATCACCAATGCGCACTCCAAAGATGAGCACGTGCTAGTCGAAGATTTGAAAAAGGCTGTGGAAATTCACGTAGATATTTTCAAATATACACTGAAAGCGGTCAACAACGTTTGAATACAGTGTGTACTGTGAAGTTTCATATTTCGGGGCTTATGGTAATTTTCTGGTGCGCGGTAGAATCTTCTTCTGATGTGACGGTGTTTCGTTTTGCTTGCTATTACTACTACCTTCACATACTTATTTTTTGATCAGCTCTTGTTTCATCGTTGTTCGTTTTGTGGCAATCCGTTCGCGGTCGCTACAAACGAAGCTGAATGATCGGATGAGTTATATGCTTTTCGTCTCTTCCTTTGCTTTTTTTTTTCCTTTTCATTAAAATTTGTCATGAGTTCCGACTTTGTGTGTTTCCCAACTAGGTATATCTTGTAGCGATTGTGATTTATGGTGTATACTATTTACGCAGACGGGGCAATTTCAGCATTAGATCCTATTGAAATAACGTATTTCTGCATTTAACAGCAAGTGACTTTGCTTTTACTAATTTCAAAAATAATACTTTTTTTCTTAGTTTTGTTCTATTTTCTTTTCTTTTTCCAGATTTAGCACTTTTCCTCTGGCATTTTAGCAATATGCCTGACGGGTATGGCGCAGCGGTAAGTATCACTGCTTTCGTACAAAAGTTTTGGGGTTCAACTCCTGTGACAGACAGTTCCTTCTGCGATTCGTTCATTCGTTTCAATGATAAATTGATACTAGCCTTCCTCGGCTAGTACTA